CATTGGAGAGAAATTTCACAGTACTTAGCAATAATATATTCTAATAAATAATTACAATTTTTATAAAGAAAATCATATTGACCCCAAAACTTTTCTTAAAATTCTTAAGGACTAATAGAAGCCTTGAAGTCATACAATCTTAAATTCCTAGAGTTGAAAAGAATGATGGAATAAAGTGCTTTTAGCAAAGATGTAAAAATCTTCTGAGGATTATATATGTTTTAAAGGATTATAACCCTAAAGTGCTATTAAAAAAATCAACAAATGAAAATCTATCATATCAAACATATTGTAGCAGTGCATAAGAGGAGCTCTGCTTTTGGAATTGGAGTCTTCTTTTCATGTGATGGGGGATTTTGAAACATCATGAGTTTTGAGTGCAGAGGATCCCTGATTCATGATGATTTGGCTTAGGATTTTTCAATTGCACCAAGGTGCAAAAATGATTCACATTCAGTAGAAATAACACACCAGATTTTTAATTGTGACACTTTCCCAGGATAGCAATGTAGAATAAGTTACTCTCAAATAATACTGAGTTGCATCAGTGAGCTGAAGCTCCCTGTCAAAGATCACAAGGTTAAAATGCAATCCTCCACAGTGTACAGTGCTGCTGAATTAGGACGTTTACAGGGTCAGGGTGTTAAATGCATTTTTGGCTTAATGATGTTTTCAACATCTAACATGTTTATCTAGATGTAACCCCACCGAAAGTCCAGAAACATCCGTACTTAGTAAATTCTAAGAACATGTCAAAGATTTTAATCAGCTAATAGTCACAATGAACCAATGAGGAAGTTCTCTTATTTTCCTGTTTTGTTGGTATTGGAATTGAGCATAAAAGAGATTATGTCAATTTCCTAGGTCATGTATTAATTTATAAAAATTCAGTTTTTTTTTTTTTTAGGACAGAATTTTATTACAAAAGGAAAGCAAAGACTCCCATGTGGGAGGGCTGGAAGAAAGCAGTCCAAGCCCAACAATTCAGTCCTAAGGTCAAAGCCCCAGATATTTACTGAAGACAAACCCCAGTACTAACGATTTAGAATGATTCTCAGAGGTGAGGACTTTATTCAAATTCTCATGCTTCTTTTCAACTTTTTCCTATTAATTAGAATGTTAATATGGTAAGTATACACATAGAACTTTTAAGTTGTTATTCACAAATTTACATTTCAGTTTTTTGCATGTGTAATTCTTTGAACACTTTATGAGGATTTTTTTCTCATGATTTTAAAAGGTAATTAGCTAGATTATGGAATTTTCATTTCACCATTCACTACTTTTATAGTGGATGATCATTGTGATGGAATTTTTACCATTCATATAAGACTAAATGGAAATGACTACTTATTTAGTTCTGTTCTACTACATGGCATTGTTATTTTCTGTCAAATCTACATAAATAAGACAAAAATGAGACAGAAATTATATAAACAATTACTGGGAAAAGTGAAACAGAATGATTGATTATTGATTTATAGTGAAACATTCTAAAATCTATTGGGAGTTGGGAGATTCATTTTTATCATACGTCTGTCATTGATTATTAAAGTAATTGAAAGCAATGTAATTTGTACTTACAGTATAGCCACTTTTTTCATAGACACAGAAACATTTCTTTCAAATTAATACTCCCTTTTGTTTAAGAAAATTTATTTATAACTATTTTATAAGAGTATGGAGTCAAACATACACTCTGGCCTGAAGAAATAACACTATCTGTTTTTCTTTTTCTAGAATAAAAGTGGATAAGAAGATTAGTTTGTCCCCATTAACTTTACCTTTATGTTTTCACAAAACAGGAAGAACTAGTCCAATTGATTTATCTCATAACTTTATTATAAAATACATATTTTAAGAGTGTCAGAAAATCTACATGATAGAGAGTATAAAAAAACCTAATTGGGATAGAAATAGTTTCTAAGAACATAAAGAGAAGCAGTAATCTATCAATTAGTTGGAGTTGGAATTGTGAAGACAAAGTTTGAGATGCTAATTACATTCCACCCCTCACTGTGCTATGCTGCTTTAAAAAAGAGCTACTTACTTCTATAAGATGTGGATGATTCATCAACAATTTCCAAAAGTAAGTTCTCTATAGGTTTGTTTGACGATTAAATTAAACACATATTTGTAGTACTTAGACACAGGATTGTCAGATCATCTAGACTGCTGTGACAAAGTACTTTAGACTGAGAAAAAGCAGATATTTATTTCTTATACTTCTGAACATAGATGAAAAAATTCCCAACAAAATATTAGCAAACCTAATCCAACAGTTTATCAAAGATTATTCACTATGACCAAATGGGATTCAATCTAAGTATATGTATATATTTATATCTTATCAATAAATAAGATACACTAACAGAACGAAGAATAAAGCACATATGATGGTCGGGTTCTGGTGGCTCATGCTATAGTCCTAGCAATTTGGGAGACTGAGATCAGGAGGATCATGGTTCAAGACCAACCTAGGCAAATTTACAAGACCCTATCACCAAAATAACCAGAGCAAAATGGACTGGAGGTGTGGCTCAAATGTTAGAATGCCTGTATTGCAAGTGAAAAGTCCTGAGTTCAAACCCCAGTCTCACCTATATCATCCCAATAAGTGAAAAAATACATTTGGGAAAATTCAGAATTCTTCAGGATAAAACCCTAAACAAATTAGGTATGCAAGGAAAATACCTCAACATAAAAAGATCATTTTTAATAAGCCAACAGGTAGCACCGTACTGGGTGGAGGAGAGCTAAAAGTTTTTGAATATCTTGAGCAAGTCAAGCATTCCCACTTTTACCACTTTTATTCAAGTTAGCTAGAAATCCCAGTCAGGGCTTTTAGGCAAGAAAAAAGTAATATGTAACTGCAGATGACATTATCTTTTCTTTTGAAAACTCCATGAAAAGTCTACTAGGAATAATAAATGAATTCAACAAAGTTACAGGATATAAAACTTACATCCAAACAGCAGCATTCATTAACAAGCAATAAATCACTAACAAACTACAAATCAAGAAAGCAATCCCATTTATAATAGATACACAAAATCTAGGAATAAATTTAAGCAAAGAGGTAAAAGATCTTTGCAATGAACACTCTAAGGGACTATTAAAAGAAACTGAGGAGGCCACACATGCATGCATAAAGATAAAAGGACAGAAATTCTGTGTTCATGGATTAGAAGAATCAATGTTGTTAAAATATCTTACTACCTAAAGCAATCTACAGACTCAATGAATTCCTTATCAAAATACCAAGGCCATTTTTTATAGAACTAGATAAAACAATCCTAACATTTGTATGAAACCATAAAAAAAGTTCCAATACTCAAAGCCATATTGAGCAGGAAGCATTACAAAATATACTACAAAGCTGTAGTAATAAAAATATCATGCTCCTGGTATTAAAACAGGTACATATATCCTGGCACAGAATAGAGAACCTACAAGTAAACAAAGCAAATCTATAAATCTATAGTCAACTGGTTTTACATTTTTTTAAAGCCTTCAGTATCCGGCACGCCCTACAACCAACTGATTTAATGGATTTTAAACAGAAGTGCTAAAACAAGCATCAGATATTTTCAATAAATGCTGGTGCAGAGAAAACTGGGCAAAATGAAACTGGATTCTTTTCTCTCATATCATAAACAGCAATTAACCATGAGTTAAAGACTAAATGTAAGATCCCAAAGAATAAAACTACTAGAACAAGACAGCAGAAATGTTTCAGCATACTGAAATAGGCAAGGATTTCTTAGGCAAGACTCCCACCAAAGCACAAGTAACAAAGTAAACATAGACAGATGGCATTACATAAAACTAAAAGCTTCTGCTCAGGAATCGAAACAGTCATCAGAGTGAAGATGCACCTAGAAAATGGGAGAAAATATATGCAAGTTATACATGTGACATGGAATTAATATTCAGAAATGTAAGGAACTTGAAAAACAAAATAACCAGAAAACTAATAACCTAATTGTAAAATAGATGATTAGATGGAAATAGATATTTCTCACAAGAAGACATCCAATGGTAATAGGTATATGAAAAATTAATCACCACAGAAATATAAATCATAGCCATAAAGAGATACCATCTCACTCCAATGAGAATGGCTATTGCCAAAAAAGTCAAAAGATAAGTGTTTTTTTAAAGATGTGGAGTAAATGGAAGGCTTACATACTACTGGTGGAATGCAAATTAGGACAGCAAAAATTAGAGCAGAGAAAACTATGGAGGCTGGTCAAAAATATTAAAAATAGAACTACCACATCATCTGGATATCCTCTTAGTGGCCACATATCCAAAGGAAATGAAATCAATATGTCAAAGAGACATTTGCATTCCCATGAATTCAGTGTTCACAACTGCTAAGAAATTGAACTAAGGCAAACAGTGTTCACAATAGCCAAGAAGTGGAAGTAATGTAAGTGCCTATGAAGTGCTGAGTAGATGAAGAAAATGAGGCACATATACACAATGGAATATTAGTCAGTTGTAATAAAGAAGGAAATTCTGCCATTTGCAACAACATGGATGACATGTTAAATGAAATAAGACAGGCACAGAAAGCCAACATGACCTCACTCATGCAAAATCTGAAAAAGTTGATTTCATAGAAATACACAGTGGAATGGTGGTTACAAAATTCTAAGGTGGTTGGGGGAGATATTCAATAATGGATAGAAAATTACAGTTATATAGAAGGAATAAGTTCCAGAGATTTATTGCATAACAAGGTAAATGTAGTTAATGACAATATATTTTAGTCTTGAAAAATGCTAAGAGAGTCCATATAAAGGGTTCTCACAACAAAATAATAACCATGTGAAATAATGTATAAGTTTATTACAGTTAACTATTACATAATGTATATACTTTAAAACATGTTGCACACAATAAATGCATGCAATTTTATCTGTCAATTTAAAAAATAAATAAATTTGAAAAGTTATGAAACAATCACAAAGCTTATACATATATATACTCACCAATACAGGTAGGTAAGGAATCATTCCATTGGGCCAAAGAGTTGGGGACTGTATCACACCTAATTGCCATGGATCCATGGAGAACATAGCCTGGATTACATTCAAAAAGAACCAATGAACCAACTGCAAACTCATTGCCAATTCTTCTTCCAAACCTTGGTTCAGGCACAGAACTGCATTGTGTGGAACTTGTTCTAGGAACAGCTGTGTAGAAATAATTGTGGTTTTAATTTCATATTCATTAAAAAATATAGATTTTTAAAATGTAACTACTTCAACAGACTTCAAAGAAATCACTTTTTGTCAGAACTTGAATTAACAATTTGAATACACTACTAAAAATTAAATTGCATTCAAAGCCAAACACAACTTAAAATGAATAATGGTATTGTCAAGATTTTTTGTTAGGAAAGTTTTACTTTTGATCCTTTAACATAAATTGTGTTGGTTTTTTGTTGTTGTTGTTTTTAGCAAACTCTTATTAATACAACACAGTAATTTTAGCTAGGAATTGCAATTTATGGGATCAAATCGAAATAATTGTTTTCTACTTGAACTTGGGATACCAATTCTAAAAACTTTGTTTTAGGTTACATGAAATAATTTTACAATTATTTTTCAGCATTTGGTCCTTAAGGATATAGATTTTTAAAACAGCAAACACATTTTATTTATTTAATATCATGTTTACAAATTTAGCTTTAAAACATATTTGTTATTGAAGAAGAAAATAACTACATGAGGCTAAGCAGAATAAAAGTCAGACAGATTAACAACAATAAAATTTTCAACTTTATCATACAATATCAAATTTGAAATTGCTTTTAGATTTTTTTATGTCCTTTGATTGTATTTTTTGATTTAGTAAAATAGAATGATAACAGGATGTTTTTTCTTTTTAAAACACATACAAATGTGAGTAAAGAGATAGACAATAGCCCAAAAAGTCATACATAAATTCCAAATAGATGAATTCCAAATTAATTAAATCCTTTTACATGACTTGTGTAATACAACTAAATTTTTATAGTGCCTTTTAAAATTTCTAATTGCACAAAATTTTTACAAGGGGAAGTGCTATTAAAAATAAAACAATATAACATTATTAGTCAAATGGTAAACAGAATGAGGGAGTTTAATAAGATATCAAATCACAAGTAGTTATATATTTTTAAGGAATAATGTTCAAGGTACAGTGGAGAAGAGCTATTGCATGATCACACAATATTCAAACAAAATATTTCCAACGATGGCTCTTGATCTAGTTTAGTGATAATGTGGAAGGTTGTCTATAAACGGGAAGGGAAAACTATATAAATGAACTTTTAATATACAAAATCTTTGATAAAAATGATTTTACTGGGAGAATAAGACAGTATAATTTTAGAAAGAGTAATGATTTCCATACATAATGATTTTCTACATAAATCAGTGCAAAAACATTGTACATTTTCAATTTAGAGCACTAGACTATGAGGAAAATAGAAAATGTAAAGAGTGAAGAATTGTCAGAAAAACAAATGTTTTTGAAAACAGTATGCTGAGAAGGAAGGAAAATCAGGTATTTAAATTGAGAATAATGATGGAAGCAGTAGGTCTTTTTTTTTTTTTTACTTTGGTCAAAGCAACAATGTTTGAGTGAAGGTGTGGGAGGGGAAACGGTAAAACTCCTTTAAAAAGACTTTTGTCTCTCTTATATGGTTATGAAAGTATTATTCTTCAATGACTCTGAATAAAGCATGGAATTGATATCATTCCTTAGTGTGCTTCTAGGCTACAGGGTCACTTACCTTGATAAACAAAGTGAAATCCCTTAGCTGTTATTGGTCCAACTGAAGTAAATCGAATTGTGATCTGATTACCTGAACTCAGTGGAAGTGATTCTCCTACTCAACAAAACAAACACTAAGATATCATAAATAATTTTCATTCAGTACACCTAACAAATTATACTATTTTACACTGTTATTTGAAAATGTCAATCTATATTCTATCAAATTACTTTAAAATATCCTACCTCTAACAAGATATTTTCTTTGGGTTCAGCTTCAATTACAACCTTTTTACTAGAAGGCTTTAATTACATTTTAATACATATTGTCTCATTCTTCAAAGAATCCATAAATATTATATTACAATAAACACCTCAGACTGTGATTAAATATTATACTTATTTGTTTACAGTCCTTGAAAACAGTTGGTTATATTTTTCTCAAGCTTCAGAGTTACTTTTAAATTGTGTTTCTATTATTTAAAAAAAAATGATTCTATTTTCATTTTGCTTTATTTCTAGTATGGATGAAATAAATCTCAACTTTGTCTATAATACTAATCAAAATCAGTCTTTAATCAATAACTGATGCATGGCAGTTCTATTAAAGGATACCTGAATGGGATCCTGAGAGGGAAGATAACAGAGAAGATTGCTGAGTTGGCCCATCATACACCTCAACAACATCGTGGAGTGATGTCTGGAAAAATACAAACTGGCCAAACACCACTGATCAACAGGAACCGGGAGAAGCAAACAAATCACCAACCATCAAAAACAAAAACAAAAAAAAATAGAAAGAGGAGGAGAGAGAGAACAAAGTATTACAATATAATAGTGATCTTGTTTTGTTTTGTTTTGTTCTTTTTGTTTCTAGTTTTGAAAGAGGCTAGGTGCCAGTTGGTGGATATTCCTGACACATGTATTTCAGGTCACAAAGGCAATTAATGACCATGACCTAAAGGAAATAAAATTTTAGAGAGACTATTCATAAAAAAATGGGTATAATATTTAATTTAAATCAGAAATAGTAAGACTGTTGTGATTAAAGAGTTATGTAACCACTTTTGGATTTTTCCTGATGGAAGTTTGGTTCTTTTCACTTTGTGACTCTCTTCTCTTTTTCTAATTTTTTTCTCCTCCTTTAGATGGGATAGACAAGAATTTTAATTTGGGGGAATTTTGTAAGATTGCTCTTTAAATGCCATTCCATCATTACAAATAATCATTTCAGTAGAAAATATATCAGCAAGATACTGTTTTAGGGATAGTGCTTAATTTACATTCTATGTCAAAAATGATTCCTAAAGATTTATTGTTGATATTTTGTCAAAATAAAGACACATTATTTAAGATTCCTCAGCAATTGAAACATTATAAAACTTCACAAAATGAATTCTATTTCATGGTAAGCACAATTTTGAAGGACTTACCAAGAGAGCTTTATAAATGACTCATTTTTTTGCTTATTTTTAATTATATAGTAAATTTACATTTGGAATCTACCCAAACTATTAACCTCAAAGAAAGAATCCATTCAAGTATACAAATGAACTTGTGTTTTGTCCTTTGAAAAGTTGAAATAGATAACAATAATTATCTTTAAAACATTTCACTGAATAGAAAAATTATAGAATATTAAGAGAATGCATTTTTTGAAAAGGTAATAATTTATAAGCAAGATAACTTTTATAAATTCAGAATCACATTTTCTTGTTTAAATAACACATTGTATGAGTATAAAACACACATATTTTTGAAGTTCTGGTTCATATTTTATACCTCAAATCCAGGTTGTGGGTATCCTTAGATGTTCCCTTTGAAAATATTCTAGTCCACTTGAAATGTGGTAGCTTTTGCGTATGAACAAAGGTACACTTGTAATAACATAAAGGAAGCTACACTTATTATTTGACCATGGAAAAATAAGCTGGTGATCTCAGTCCATTTTTTTTTTGTAGCAGAAAATGAAATGAACACACTAGAAGATATATTATCCTTTCTTTGATTCTGAGTATTAAAGTACTTTACTTTGTAACTAATCCTCCTTAAAATATATTTCCTGGAGGAGATAAAACCAAATGTGATTCTACCAAACCAGATACATGTAATAAATTGTTTTTAATGGTTTAAGAGTCATATACATTTTTTGAGACCATCTTTAAAAAGATGCTGAATTTGATGCAACACATCCTAAGCTACTTCAAAAATATCCCAAAAAAGAAATTAAGAAAAGTTTTGCTTTCAGTTTTTGCATTATTGGTGTTTGAATAATCTGTTTTCTAATGTGTCTTTAAAAGGTTCTAATGTACTGTAGATGTTGCCATAGCTTTACCATGTGGCCAAAAAAATTACTAGAGTAATTACAAGACCTTTATCAAATACACTGTGCATCAAAGCTCTAGACATATAATTCATTTTTCCTCTAATCATTTTGGGAAGTCAGTAAGAAAAACTAAAATTTAACATCCTTTGACTCTTCTTGTCTAAATTTCTCAAGTATTTCACTGGAAACATTTAGTTTCTAAGTAAACCACTGTGCTTACTAACATCCAAAGAACCAAAATATAATTAACCCAGAGATTTTTGCAAGGAAAAGGGAATAGAAGGTGTCTATTTTTTGTTTTTGTCTTTAGGTCTCTTCTCAATTGCAGTTTCTCTATAGATAGACCAGTTTTGTGTCAATTAAATTGAAAATGTTGAAGATAAAACTGTTAGTGATACAGCCATTTATGCTATATTTTTATAATGTTAAGTAAAGAAAACTGGTGAGTATGTTCTTTTGAGTATTGCTAATACTTTATAACAAAGTTGCTTGTGGAAATAACTCTGAGATGACTATAGGGAGCCTTGAGGATGGGGGTAAGTGGAGTCTTATTAAGCAATGAACAAGCTACATTTCTTTAACTACAATCTAACTTTATATTAATATGAGTAATTGACATTTTTAATTAAAAATGGCTTGCATTAGGAAAAATGTGCTCTGAAAGGATATTGAATCATTATATCAAAAACAGAATTATAAACTATCCATTTAGTGAGGTATTTTGTAGCATGTGGTATTTTGTTCCTGAGGAATCAGAAACAGTTGTATAGTGACTTGATTTCTTATAAATTATCAGATTATCATCTTATTAAACTAATGTTATTTTCCTGGACCAAATTCCTCCTTCTCAGCCAAATATTTTAGAATTAAGTAGCATCCTTCAGTTTTGATTCTCTACTTTGCTATTAAGTGTCTTAATTCATTTAACTTTCTTATGTGCACACAGCAGTAGGTATTTTGCTTCTAAGAATGGCCAAAGGCATCCCTTACCTGATTAAAGCTAATGTAGAGAAAGTCTGGTAGAGATTTTCGCATGGATCATATGTTTACTAAATGCTGTTTCTTGTTAGCATGTTCTGAAGCACACCTGGATCAACTGTGTTTATGGGGACTATTATGTGATGCAGTGATTATTGGCTTGTAACACACCTATTTTTTAATCTATTGGTAAATTCATTTTCTTCCTTCCTTCTTTCCTTCTACCTATGTCCCTGTCTGTGTAATTCATCTATAATCATTATTTGGTTATTTAAATTCCCTTTGGAACCATCATAACATTTGATGTAATTTAAAGTTAAATCAAAATTTTAATACATGTATATTTTATGTTCATGTGAAAGCTGTGATTATGCCCTCTTTTTAAAAATTATATTTTGACACTGATCTTGTCTCAACCTAATAATTATTTCTAAAACTGCATTTTATCCCCAAACACTGTGCTGATTATGTATACTCAGCATTCCAAGCAAGCACTTTTTTATGTTTCTTAGTTTACAAGCAGAGGTAAAGAATTCCCTGTATCTCAGCTCTAAATTTCTTTTATCTGGAGATACTATGCGCTGAAGTATAAAAGTAAGTTTTGAACACCAAGCTGTTTCTTATGGGAAATGTTGTTTTGATGGATTTTCCCTCTTTTATAAGCATAATTCAAGGTAAATACATTTTTAATGCTTTTGTAAAATAATTTTTCTCACATTCTGTGTATTACAATCTGGAAAAAAGGAAGAAAACAGAACTTAGGAAGATAAAAAGTAAACATGTAAAATATCCCTGCAAATAAGTCTATATAAGTAATTTTATACCTGACATTACTTCTGAGGTTTTTATTTTCCATACATCTTATTTTAGATAGACTTTTAATTCAGTCAGTCTTGGTTGATTGTGTTCTATGATACATGAGGAACTGGATTAAATGTTGATGTTAAAAAAATGACCCAAAACACACAGGGCCCCTCCTTTCAGACTCTATTAATTATATTTGTATTTGTTGCACTGGCAGCTTAATTTTATTCTACCTCTGAAAAGACATTAAGATTAGCTGATCAAATAATCTAACAAGAGGGGATTCAGGGTCCACGCAGATTTTTGCTGTTCTAGTCATTTAAGCCATTCTTCAAAGCAAGTCCTCTACCAACTTCCAGTGGGCAACATTTGGAGGCCTTCCAGATTGCTTTTTAAAGAAATCTAAAATTAATATTTTTAAAGCTTTAGATTTTTAAACATTACTTAAAAATCTGATTCAAAGCACTTAGTGAAAATCTCTAATTTCGATCATATTGATAGAATGTGTGTCCTAACTTTAAAACTATGTCCTAGTCCATTTGCACCTCCACAAAAAAGCAAATAAAGAATGAGACAAGGCATTATGTTTATCTGCTTTTCTTTGTAGATAAACCAAGGTTTATTTGAAATTGAATTTTTATACCATATTCAACCAAGGTACAGAGGCAGGGCTCCATTTACTGAGAAGGGACCTGGCATAAATTTTCGTTTAACCAAGTTTTAATAACTAGTTGTTTTTTAATTCTATCCCAAATCCTAGTAAGTACATTTTCCTTAGGTCACATTCATTTAACTCCTGAGACTTTGTTCATTCTCCTTAGTTAAGCCTTCCTAAAAATAAGTTGACAAATGATGACAGAGAGAATTAGCATAGCTAAACTGTACAATGCTCAGTAAAGACCAATAGTTGTCCTGAAAGCATCACTGAGGAAAACAGCATAGTGGCTTCCTGGACTTGAACATAATGCCAAAAATGGGTTAGTGCCCCTAGGGTGGTGTGCTTGCTTAGACGATCAACAAGCAGAACAACACAGGTTTAAAGCTCCCTCTGTGATAGTCTGTTCTGCGACACTGTCAAAATGTTCCTTCACTGTTGGCCAAGTACCTCCTTGTCCAAACCTTAATCAGATACTACCTAATCCTCTAACTTTGTCTTGCATTTTTACTTCTATTTCTGTCCTTGCACTGTCCAATCCTAGCAAGAATCTGTAAAGTAAGTTTAGCTAGAGTCCTCTACCCTCAATATCTGATCAACACTCCCACTACCCTGTAGACAATGTGATTATCCTGACCTGCCTTCAGCAATAATCCTGCTAATTTAGCTTAAACAGAATGTTCTATTACCACTAATTTTTCTCCTCTGAGTAATTTTTCATCTACTGATTTCTATTCTTTTGTCTACAAATTCCAATTTTTTCCTGTTATATTTGAAGTTCAGCTCAGTCTCTCCATCCTATTGCAAAACTCCATTGAATTGATTCTTATATCTATCTTGGTAACCTTGAATAAAGTCCATATTTCTATTCATCAACAAGTGAATGACTAGCTTTTTAAACAGTCTAAACCAGAAACTTCTAGAATTTACATTAAATTTTTTGGTGACATCTAAATAAATAGCTAG